CTGGAGGCCGGGCTCCCAGGCGCTCCTGGGCTGGGAGAGGCAGCTTCTCTCTGAGCCGTTTGGGATGGCTCCAGGTGACACCAGTCCCTCCCCTTGTCTGCAGGAGGAAGGGCAGGACCTTGACACCTGGGGACCGCTGTAAATTATGCCAATTAATTCTCTGCGGTGGGTGTCCGCATGGCAGGCGTGGAGACAGCCTGGGATCGGGCCTCATTTTTCACGCTCACAGGCCGATGGAGTTGGCAGGGGAGGGAGTGGGGAGAGCAGAGTGGCTTCGAGATTGGCCAGTCTCGGTTCCCGGGGGACATCTGCAAACCTGCCAGCCTGCGGCAGTCCCCGACTTGTCCCTCGCTGGCAGAGTGGCCCGGTGCGCGTCCACATCGCTGGCACGGGAGAGGCAGGGTGGCTGTCCCCATTCTGTAGTTATATTAGGTCGCTGGGTATTTTTTATGCAGAAATTTATCCTGACATTCCCGACGACCAATAGAAGATTTGGGGCCAGAGAAGGGAATGAAGCCATAGAGTAGAGCTGGAACTTGAGCCCGGGGCTTGGGGCAGCAGCCTAGGGTCCCTTCCCAGTGTCGCTTGGTTGTCCCCAGCCTGCAGCCCGACCCCAGCCCCCCGCTCACCCCGGTTCCTCCCTCCCCATGTGCTCTTCCGTTCGCAGCCCTGCGGCCTCTGAAGCACTCTGGAAGCAAAGAAGGTGAAGACGCAGGCTGCTCAGGTGGGGTGTCCTTTGTGATCTGTGTGCCCGAGGCTGGTGAGGGAGGCGGTCACCACACTGTCACCACCCTCTCCAGGACAGTGACGCAGCGGGGTCTGAGTAACCTAGGTGGCCCCGGCTGCTGTTCTGGGACCCGGTGTGAGAGGATGAGCGAGGACACTTTATTCCTCGTCCTGTGACAGTCTGAACCTGGCTAGCCCTAAGGCCACCCGTGTTCTGGAGCCAGGTTCTCTTCACCTCGAAGCTTCCATCCCTGGGTCCAAGGGACTGCTTCTGTTTCCGCCCACCCTCCAGAGCGAGGGGACGGGGACGGCGAGGGCCTTTCTTTCCAGGGCTGGGTCAAAATAGTGTCCAACCCCTCTGTCGCATCCACATCCATGACACGATCCTCGCTCCGGCTGAAGCTGGGAGTTAGTTTCCGTCTGCTTGACCCTGTCCCTGTCCCGGCAAGCCTGGTGGCTTCCTCGGGGTGGGAGCAGGAGCTTGGGAGACAGTTGAAGCCCTCCCGGGCGCAGCAGGGGGCTGGTCAACACCAACGGCCTTGCCGTCATGTTGCCATGACGCGAGCAGGTATGTCAGGACATGCGTTCGTGTTCCCCGACCCCTTGTGGTTTGAAACCAAACAAGAAAGAACTGAGCACACGGAGGTAACATGCAGCTCGGGCCGAGAAGGTGGCCAGAGGGCTGGCGGCTAGGGGAGCTGGCTCCCACATGGCCGTCGCGGCCTGAGTCCCAGCTGGTGAGGCCCAACAGGACGGAGGAAGGAGGGCTGGCAGTGGGCCAGGCCCCGCGGGATGCCTTCTCCCTCCCTCTCCTCTTCCCCTGTCTCTGCAGTGAGCACACACATACTCTGAGAAAAATGTTTAAAAAATGAAAAAGAGAGAGAGAGGCAGAGGCTGGAGATGGCCCAATGGGGAAGAGGTGGGCTCCCTGACTGTCCCCCGTGAGGCAGCCACCCGGGATAGGGTAGGGCAGTGCTCAGATGGCAGGATGACTCTCTCTGGGCACAGCCGGGCCAGGAGAACATGAGAGGAGGGTCGTGGTCCTGCTGCTAAAGAACCCACTCAGGTCAGGGCACAGGGCGAGGCCCGGCGGGTAAGGCCGGTGGTCACCCTCCACGTGGAGGCAGGAGCCGGAGGAAGGGGGTTCCCTACGGTGCCACCTGAGGGTGCAGCGTGAGCAGAGGCCGCTGGGAAGGGTGGCTCCCTGACGGGGGTACTGGGCCAGGCCGTGGTGGGCAGTGGAGACAGGGCGGGGCCAGCAGGAGGGATGTGGGCTGGGGCAGAGAGGGAGCTGAGTGAGGAGGGCTGTCTCCCTCGGCGCTGGCCCCGGGTGTGCCCACACCGGTGCTGACCCGGGCCTCCAGGCAGCAGTTAGTGCAGGGCCACACGTGGGCCCCCACCCGAAGTACGGGCAGGTGCTGGGCTCTGGCTCGCTCCCGGGTAGGACTCTGGCTCTAACTACCCTTCCCACTCCTGCTTCTCCTTCCCATCATGAATTGCAGATGACGGACAGGAAATAGCCTGACCTCAAGGACCGGGGAGCCGCCGACACCTCCCCGCCCCGGCTCCCACCTCTGGCTGCGTCGGCGTCCCCATGGAGCCCTGCCACCAAGAGATGGGTCCCCTTCAAAGGATGTGACACACAGGCCACCTCGCAGCCTTACGTGACTCCCAAGGCCCCTGCTGCCTTATTTCTCTGGCGACACGACACAGACCCCAGCTCTGAGGCCACGTGATCTCTGCCTGCCGTTTTTCTCAAGGACGCACTACTCAGACTCACCCCCTGCCTTAGTTCTCCAAAGACCAGGACACGGTCACCCTGCCTAGGCACCTGCCGGGCTCGGCACACTGGTCCTCACCTCTGCCTCCCCCTGCACAGAATCCGTCTCCTCAGATGACCCTGTGGCCTCACTGTGCCTCAGGCTATCCGCTCCGGCTTCCTCCTGCTCTGCCCGGTGTGGCCCTTCTGTCCCTCACAGAGGGGACATGGCGTTCCCCTCCTGCAGATGCGTGTGCTGGCACACCCAAGGATCCCCGTCCAGTCTGCTTTGCAGGGCCCTGGCCTGTGCCCACGACACCCCCTCCACGGCCTGCCCACCCCAGGGAAGCAGGCGCTGGTCAAGCTGGCTCCCTGGGGGCTCGGGGGCCCCGGGGTCAGCGTCTGCTCCTCTGCTCTGCAGCTGTGGCCGCCTTCATTCCTTTCCTTTCGTGTGCGGTTCAGTTCCTGTTGGTCGAGCTACCCGGGGTGTCAGCACCACCGCAGGCCTGGGGCCTGGGGGAGACAGGTCCTCCCTGGGGTCTCGCTGTCCCACTGGGGGACTCAGCAGCAGCACTGTGGTCTGCAGTGCACAAGAGGCAGCCTTGCCTGGCACCTGGCCGTACCCCCTCTCGTCCCCTGGACGCCTCGTCCCCATGCACCCCAGTCCTTACGCAGAGCCTGGGGTGGGGGCGGGGGCCTGGAGAGAGGGCCTGTCCTCACCACTGAGCCTGGCATGGGTGGGACAGGGCCAGGAGAACTTGGGACGCTGAGGGGACTGTCCCCACCATGGTGCTATTCTGGGGCTGGGATGGCCCTGGCTGGCCTTGGCCACTCCTTGCCCCCGGTGGAATGGAACTGCTGATGTCCCATTGCCCTCCCAGTGCCATGTGTCCCCAGGAGTGGGAGCTCTGAGCGGTTCTAATTTAAATGTGGGACTCTGAGGAATTTTGTAAACTGGGGGTGTATGTTGGGGAAGATAAATGCCTTTGTAAAAAGCCTCTTCTCTGTCAAGTGTTGTAGGCCTCAGACGCAGCAAGAGAGTCCCTCTGGGGTGGCAGGGCCTGGGCCTCTGTGGCCATGTGCCCCCCACCCCCCCGGCCTCATGGAAGAAATAACCCGTAAAAGTAAGAAGACCGAGGAGGAGTGAACGTGCCAAACACACCCCAGCCGTTGCCTCTGGGAGACGTGTTGGCGAGGGCTGGCAGCCCGGCGGCCCCGGAGCTCTGTGGTCACGGGCGGCAGCCTGGACTGGGAGCAGGAGCGGACCTAACTCCAGCTCTGCCGCCGTGACTGCGGGCGCACCGCCCAGCCTTGTCTCCTCAGTAGGGCAGTGAGCCTCCAGAAAGTAGACGCCGTGCTGTAGAAATGAGGCTGTGCTGAGCTGATGGCGGGGAGGGGACGTCGGTCACCCTGCCTGACGCGCTGTCGGTGCTCTGGGTTGGAGACCTGAGCCTGCTTTCGCCCCGTCCACCCAGCTAGTGCCCCGAGCACGCCGCTTGCCCCATGGGCTGCAAACACTGATGTGGGCGCAGAGAGCCCTGCTCCAGGCTCGTCATGGGAGTGGGCAAGGCCGGGGTGGGGAAGGGCTGCAGACAGCCATGCTGGCCGGTGCAGG